ATACAAGTACATATTTGTCAGTCAATTGTAAACTGCTGCACAGCCCTCAGTGGTCAAAGGGTTTGCTGACAGCAACTCATTCCTTACTCTGCTCTCCCCATGCTCTGCAGGTCAACAAACTTGTGCAGAGGTTTTGTGTTCCTACCAGTCTGAATTTGAAGCGTATATGCTCAGCACTTGACACCCATGCTCCAGGCCAGTTTTTATTGACCGAAAGGCTGCATGTAGATCAATCAGCAGACAACCACTGCAGGGCCTTGCCACGGGGAAACCACAGCAGGGTGCAGCACGGCCTAAGAGACCCTTCCCACAAAAACTACGACGTGGATCAGTGTCCAGCAAACAAGGACACTTCCCCACATTGTGTCAGCTGTATCAGAGGCGTCTCAAGCTGACTCTTTCACACTCAGCCCCGGAGGGAACTCAGGCAATGAGCACCAGACCACGTCCATCTCCACAGACAAAGCTCTGTCCGTGGCACAGACACCCCTCTTTCCCACACGCTGAACCAAAGCAGGCTTCCTTCCTTGAGGAAAAAGGCTTCATTTAGGATTTAGAGAGTTGGGAGCAATGTTTAGACACTTGCAGGGCGAGACCGCGGACAGCCCTTGTTGATGGCCCTTGGCATCGCAGCTCTCCCTGGGATGCAGGGAATGACACGGCCCCGCTGCTGTCGGGCTCCTGACCCGGGTGCCTCTGCAGGGGCCGGGAGGAGCCGGACACTGTCCCAGCAAGCCGAGGCACAAAAAGCCGAAGGGTTGGCCCTCCCTGGCGGGAAGAGTTCCTCTTCCGCCCTCCCACGGGCTTGGCCTGGGGAGAGACGTCGCAACCCCGCGGAGCTCCCGGCGCTCCCACGAGAAGCGTTCCAGCCGCACCGCCGCGGCTCCCGCTGGCAAAGAGCAGCGGTGTTCAGGGAATGTCACGAAAGAGGGAAGGAAAAATAAAAAAAATAAAATAAAAAAAAATACAAAACACAGTAAAAGCAACGCCATTCAGCTCTACTTCCTAGAAAAACCCGCAAAACAAGAAAACCCTAGAAAACGCAGGCACAGGCTTTCCCGTAGAAAACCTGGAGGACAAGGCAGCAGCGGCCAGAGCAACGCGGCCGCCGCACTCACCCCGCGGCCGCCGCGCTCCCCGCTCCCGGCAGCGCCGCCCGGCAGAGGGAAGGGACGGGAGCCCGGCCCCTCCCGGGATGCAGCCGGAGCCTGAGGCGCTCTGCCCCTGGCTGCCGGGAGCGGGAGGCGCCGCAGCCCTTCCCGGGAAAATGGCTGTCCCCCGCCCCCGCCGCAGGGAGCCCCGGCAGCCGCCTCTGCCCTCCCCTCGCAGCTCCGCCGGCCGCGGCCCGTGCTTCGCCTCTGCCTCCCTCTCGTGGCAGAGCTGACGGAAAACACCCCCGGTCCGTGAGGGTTGTTAATTACCATCACGTATTTCTGAAGCTAGGGTTGCTCTGAGCCAAGCTGAGCTGTTGCTGCCGCCAGACGCTGTACGGCCTTAACCCTTCCTCGCATTCCTGAGGGTCTGAGTGAGAAAAATAGCCCGTAGAGAGGTGTGCTTTTTTTAAAATATATTTTATTAGAAAGAATCTGTGGAGCAACATGAGAGTTATCGGGAGCTGGTGAAGACTTGGAGTTGGGATGTGGAAGGAAAGCAAGGGAAAGGCCACAGGGTGAAGGCTGTGAGGATCTGCCTCCAGGGCTTAGTTCAGAGCTAAAAAGCAGGAGCTGGGTCGGATTGCTGCAGGCTGGAGGTACACGCTAGGAACACATCAGGATATGTGTCCCTCACCATAAGGGTAAGGAGAAAGACTGGCAAAATATACTTGTGCACAGTGCTGTGAGTGGGAGAGATAGAAATGCCATGGTGATATTTAGAGATAAGGATAGAGCTACCCATGATGGCCTGATCCAAGTGATAGCCAGGATTGCTCTGTGGGTGCAAGGCATTGCACAATCCCCATGGCACTGCCACAGTTTTCCCTTCAGCTTAGGAAAGAGACACTGGAGGAGCTGTACCGCAGGCAATAGGGTGGGTGGTCTGATGAAGAAGTGGTTCAAGTCCTGCTCCCCCAGTTGCAGAGAGCCTCAGGTTTGGGGTTTGCCTCTGTGCTAGCAAGCAAGCATCTCCTGCTCTGCAGGGGAAGGACTCACTGACTAGGGTGAGCAAAATCTACCAAAGAAGAGGATGGTTTGTGATTTGTTGTGCCTAATAAAGAAGATAAAAGGGTGGTCAGCTTTGAAAGTCATTGTTGGGACTCTTGATCTCATCATCAAGACACCTGTGGCAGCTGCTGCCTCCGTGCCTTCTTCATTGATCTCCACAAAGGCTTTGTGAATAACTTGTGAGATGAAAAGATCCTTCTTCGCTGACATCCCTGTGAAATCAGCCTGACCTGGATCAAAAGCATTTTGTATCCCCATGCTGCTCAGAGGGGATTTAAGGTCATAATTTTCTTCCAGCTTCAACTTGGGCAGGTATAGATCCACTTCAGCTTTCATCATATTGTCTGATTTGGTCCATTCAGACAGTTTCTCATATGTCAGCTCTCTTTCCACCTGCAATGAGTTGAGGAAGAAAGCAGTCGGAATGTGAAGGACAGGGATTAGGCATGCACAGACCAAGTCTTATTGCTCATCAAGAACCTGTAAAGCAAGACCCAACTACCAGCAGTGACTACAGATGGAACGTGCATCATATTTAGAGGGCATGATTTGACAAAGTGCTGAGTGACTTATACTCCTATTTATTTTCTTAAAGGTGGTGAGGTGTAGGCCGGAAGCCTCAGAGTAGTTTATAATTTTTTTTTCCTCTGGTGTGAAGACCACTGCTTTTTTTGCAATATATTACTTATGACAATAATAATAGATGCTTGATGTGTGTGTATATGGATAAATTTTCTCTTAGTAGTGATAAATAAATGGGATGCATGGGAACAAAAGTACGGATAAAAATATTTTCCCTGCTCTGTTTAGAATCTGAAACTGATCCTGGCATAGTCATGAGCTGCTGTTGGCACCTTCTGGGTCAGGGTACTCAGCGCTTAGTTTGAGAAACCTCCCCACAAACTATCAGCTGGAAATCCAGACTGAAAATTACATAAACATTAATTAATACAGCCCTCAGGAAAAGATAATTCTAGGGCAGGGTGATTCAGAGGTAATCCTTGCTTTCCCTATGCTATATTTGCAATAGGAAAGAGGATACAAAATAATCTAAAACAAAACAATCTAATCTAATGTTATGTGGACATAGGTTTTAGAAATACTATGTTTGCAATGTTATCACATGTCCTGAATCCTAAAATGAAAATCACGGTGTTACGGTTTCTGAAACAAAGTATGAGCACATCAGAGCTATTCTAGTGTGATTTTCAAGCCTGTTCTTCCTCACTCTTTTAATCTGTTACTGTTTGGTAGTGTATGTGATGCAACAATAGGTCGGCTTTACCAGCTCCAGGCCAGTAGTGTTATCACTGATGTCATCGGGAAGGAGAACGAACATGCTGAGTTCATTTTCCACATATGGCAACTCAATGATTCTGAATTTCATGGTGGTCTCATGAAGTATGAAAAATTTATCTTTCAAAAACATCATGTGTACTGGTGTAGTCTTGGTCTGGAAAAAATTAAGACATAAAAATTACCTTACACATTAAAAGTATGATAAAATTTACTTGCTTCATTGAACTGAAAACAAGTACAAGATTCAGCAGCATCTGGATACCCAGGAGCCTTTTCTTTAGACAGTATCACATACACCCCCTTTTCAAAGTCTTGGAGATCTTTATAAAAATTAGTATAAACACACAAGCTAAATACCTACTAACTGAATCCCATGTAATGTATTTCTAAATTTAAAATAAAGATTAAGCTTTGATAATCAAGTAACTCTCTTTGCAGGCCTTGGTATTCACCCTGTGAATTAAACCCTTTCTGGCATCAATATATGGTTTGCATGGTAGTGGGGAAGCTGCAGGGATGGCTTCTGTGAGGAGACATCAGAAGATACCTCTGTCAGGCAGAGCCAGTTTCAGCTGGCTCCAGGATGGACCTGCTACTGTCCAAATCTGAGCCAGTCAGTGATATTGGTAGTGCCTCTGTGGTTATCTATTTAAGAAAAGGTAAAAAATGCTGCACAAAAGCAGCTGGGAGAGCCGAGTGAGATGATGTGGGAGAAACTGTCCTGAAGACACCTAAGTCAGCTAGGAGGAAGGGGGAGAAGGTGCTCCAGGCCCTGGAGCTGAGGTTCCTCTGGAGCCCATGGCAAAGACAATGGTGGTGCAAGTATCCACCCTGCAACCTCTGAGAGCCCATGCTGGAGCAAGCTCCTGGAAGGACCCATGATACTGTGGAGAGTATCCCTTTTCTGGCATCACCTGTGACCCCTCACTGGACTCAAACTGGAGCAGTTCTTGCAAAACTGCAGACCATGGGAAGGACTCACATTGGATGTGAAGGACTTTATCCCATGGATAGGACCCCACACTTGAGCAGAGAAAAAGTGTGAGGAGGAGGAAGGAACTGTAGAGACAAAATGTGATCAGCTGACTACATTATTAGCCCATTCCCAGTCCCCTGCACTGCTTTGGGGCACAGATGAATCGTAAGTGAAGTTCAGACGGGGAGGAAGGGAGGGTGGGGGGAAGCACTTTGTGTTTGGTTGACTTCACTAATTTACTCTGAGAATTGGAAATAAATTAATTTATTGAAGTTGAGCCTGTTCTGCCCGTGATGGCAATTGGTAAATGTTCTCCCTGTTCTTTCCCTGACCCATGACCTTTTCATCCTATTTTTCTCCCCCTGTCCTGTTGACAAGGGGCAGTGATAGGGAGTCTCACTGGGCACCTGGTGGCCAGCCAAGTTCACCCACCACAACTGTCTGCTGTGTCAGATCCTAAAATTGCACATGTAGTGCAGTAGGTTTCGGGTACATAGTCACATCAGTTGCTTCATGTTGTCTGGCATACAAAAGGTATTTGCACCCTTAATCTATGTCAAACAAAATGTTTATTTCCATTGACAAATAGTTTTGCTTGCTTTTGACACAGTCCAAAAATATGCATGCAGTCAGCAACTGGGAATTGTCAGTGCATGATCATTTAAATACTGTTAGCTCAATGAATAGATAATCTGAATGGATCACCCTCATACACTCAGCTAAAATAACAAAATTCCCTGTGAGGTTTGATACAACACCCAAGGTATGTGTGGGAAGAACAGCTGGATGAGATCCCATGACTTCAGGGTGCCAAGAGCACAAGTGAGCTCTAGGTGTGTAAAAATTGCTCTCCAAAGCAACCTGGTCTCATTTGAAAATGGTATTTTGAGAAATTTCTTCTTTTCCTTAAACTACTTTCTTTAACTTTGCTTAGCTTACTTTATAAAATTAACTTTAACTGTTCCCAAGTATTTTGATACTGAGGAGTTATAAATTTAAAATCCAGTTTTTATGGATATGCATAAACAAGACAATGCTGAGTTACTTTCACAGTTGGTGTTCTCCCTGAGTTTATATGTTGCTATATGTAGTGTTTCAGTGGCATATGAAATACAGGTGAAGTATTTTCTCCTCAGTAATAGACATATTGACATAGGACAACAGGCATATTGACAAGGAATTTACCTTGCTTATTCTGAAGGGCATCTCAGAAGTATTTTTCTCCAGAAATTTCTTTTCCCACTTTCCTTTGAAATAAATGGCATTTACTAAGACCAACACAGTGCGAGAATGGAGAGATCCTGCAGGCAGCAGACTCTGTATTTTCCCTTCAAAATCAGACAAAGAGACTGTTATTTCAGTGTGACTGCACAACTTGCCAATTTTAATTGTTCCTTGTTTGTGCCTACCTCTCTTTCAAAAATGTTTGCATTTGGGAGGGTTTTTTTACTGTATGTATTTATGTTGAACATATGGTAAAAATGACCTTTTGAAGTATCTCTGTGTCCTTTGTCCAGAGAAGTTGTGGATGCCCCATCCCTGGAAGTGTTCAAAGCCAGGTTGGATGGGGCTTTGAGCAACCTGGTCTAATGGAAGATATCCCTGTCCATGGCAGGGGGGTTGGAATGAGATAATCCTTAAGGTCCCTACCAACCTAAAACCATTCTATGAATTCTCTCTCTCTCTCTCTCTCTCTTTTTTTTTTTTTTTTTTTTTTTTTTTTTTTTTTTTTTTTTTTTTTTTTTTTTTTTTTTTTTTTTTTTCCTTGGACTATTACATAAAACCCTGTGGAA